AGAGGATAAAAATGAAGTTGCAGCTGTCACAAGGGAGAATGGGCAGGTGAGAGAAGGGCAACTTCATGAATTACAAACGCTTGGGTGGCCACAACAGCTGCGGTTCTGTTTGGTTTTCTTTTTCTTGTCACTCTGAGGTGGCATTTGCCTGTTGCCTCCACGGGCAGTAGGTAAGAGGATTTTTTCAGAAATCTTTTTCTGGTGCTGTTAGGGTTGTTTAGGAGATACAGTTCTCTGGCAGGTTGGAGAAGCAACTTGGCAGTGCTGAGCACTTTGGAGATGCGTGGTTTCCTGGGAGAAAGGATAGAGAAACAACTGTTTACCTTGAACACTTATATAAAGCATGTTGGTTTGCCCCTAGGCTCCTGCCATCTGATGCTAAACCCAAAGAGTGTCCAGAGCTTGTTTGTTCTCAGCCCAACAGATCCTGATGGTGAAAGTTGTGTTGATTTGGACTTAGGGGTCTGGATTCCATGTGGCATTTCTGAGCCTGCTGTGGAGGCTTTTGTTTATGGAACAGTAGAACTGCAACCTCTGCTGCAGGCTCAGCTGTGCTCAGAAAGAGCAGGAGGTGCTTGGAGCATTGTGAAAGGAGCTGAGGCAAACAGGGAATGTGTGGTTGTTTATAGAAATGTGGCAGAGGGCAGGAAACAATTGTTCTTGTTTGAGTAAATAAGAAGTGGTGGCATTGAGCAGTTCTGGGAAGTAAGGACCAAACCAAGGACACTTCAGGAATCTTTTGTTAAAGGAATTGAGGGTGCAGCAGCCAAACCAGATGCCTTGGCTGTTCTCTGGCTGGGATCCCCTCTCTGTGGGTTTGGGGAAGGTTACCCAGGGGAGAGCAGCCAAAAGGGACACAGTGCTGACCCTTTACATCATGGATCTTTGCAGACACACAGCAGCGACCGCAAATGCCATTTGGTTATCAGCCTTTTGGTTAAAAGTTGACAGTTTTGCATTGACCTGGCCTGGTGGCAGCTCCTGTGCTCAGAACTAGGAGCAGCTGGGACATGGAGGGATGCTGAGGTGGGTCTGGCTGCAGGTCTGGGGAGCAGAGCCAGCAGGAACTTCCTTGACCTGCCGTGACTCCATTTTTCCCAAGCTCCTTGTAGTGAAACTCCCAATTCCCAAACATTAGTGGGATGGTCAGTACTATGTGTGCATGGCGAGCTTTTATCCTGAAGGAAATCCTGTCACTTGCACTTCCAGGCAGCAGTTCCCCCACCTCTGTGTTCCTCACAAAAATGCCTTTTTTAGACGGGACTTTTAGCGAGTCCTGGTGATCTGTTGATTTCCAATGGATTAAAGTGAGCTGAAGTAAGTTTTTCCCTCACACACAGATGAAATAAAACATGGAACCGTTACCTCGCTCACACAGAGGCACTCGGAGCTTCACGGGTACAATATAGCGACACGTTACAAAAAGACGAGCATAATTTATATGATATAAACTATATAGAGATATATTTTTAAAAGTCCTCTCCCTTATTTCATAGTTTATTGAAACCAATGTGTTTCTGGTCCCATTCCCTCACCACTGCTGCTGCCTGGGGCCTCTCCTTCCCCTCAGACCCCAGAACTGTCCCGCAGTCTTCCCTCCCTGGTCATGTCCCTCACCATGCGGCTCCTGAGCTTCTGGCGATGCTGACTTGTGCATCGTGGAGTGTTTTGGTCCCTTTGTCAGCCCCCAAACTCGAGGCCAGGTGCTGCCGGCAGGTGACTGCCAGGTCAGGGGCCTGTTTGGTGACAGGCTGTGCTGTCACTGCTGGTGGCACTGGGCACCAGTGGGGTTACAGCACTGGGCAGGCAGCTGGGGATATGGCAGCAGGTGTGTGGAGGTGGGTACAGCACCAGGCAGCAGCAGGACCTCTCCAGGTGCCATTAGCAACAGAAAGGTGGCTCGTGCTGGTGTCCAGACCGGGGAGCAGGGGCTCTCTGAGGTACAGGGGTGCTGGGAGCAAGCAGGGATTCCTTCCCACTTCATTGAGGTTCCTCTCAGCCGGTTCCGTGGGGCCTTGTCCTGCTGCCTCCCCTTCCCTCAGCGCAGGGCTGTGACCCCTGCACTGCTCTGCCTTGATGTGACAGAGCAGGAGCTGGGCCAGGCCGTGCTGGAGCTGAAGTTACCGGAGCCAAATGAAGAACGACTTGTTCTGAAGGGCCGGTGCTTCCGCAGCGTCCCACGTGGAGGCTGGAAAGGCTGTGTGGAGCATTCAGTTAGTTTTGCCAATTCTTGTTACTTTATATGAAAACACAACTTTTTAAAAAGGAGTTTTTTCTTAAAATCCGCTTGATCTGCTGTGCAGTGCCTGAGCCTGGCTGCTTAACATCAGGATTCCCAGGATTTGTCTGCAGGGACTTAAAATCTGGGATGGTAACAGCAATGCCCAAACACAAAGCAAAAATCATTTCAGTCACCTGTCAGCAGTCCTGGCAGGTCAAGTGAATTTCAACTGATCTTGTTGCATTAAAAACCCAAATTACACCATTGCTTTCTGTTCTGCCATTAATTTTTGCAAAGTAGTAACTTTTTACTTCCCTGTTTTTATTCTTTTTCTGCCCTCCAAAGGCTGTTGACAGCTGTGGTATCTTTGAAGTGTGGGCACTCAGCCCCACCTCTGCTCTCTCACAGTTCACCATCACGTGCGTTTGTGTGTCTCTTTTTTAAGCTAATGATAAAATGTATTTATTTTGGTTCAGGTTGTGTTTGGAACTGGCTAATCTCTCCCTCTGATGGATTATTTATTAAACTGCTGCTTTCCTGTTGTGTCAAAGCTCTCTGTCCTTGTTCCTCTCCATCACCAATGGTACCAGGCAGCTTCTGCCCAGAATTGAAATTCCCCTTGAGAATTACGTGAGGATGTGGGACAGTTTTGGGAGAGCTGGGTCGGGGCTGCCAGTCCCTGCACCAGCCCAGGATGGGAAGCAGGTCCCTGGCTCCTGCCTGCCCCACTGGAGCTTCCTTTAGACTGGTTTTTAGTAGCCCAAACTCTATTGTCTTATTGTTTCATTATTGTCTTTTCAGACAGACCTAATTTAGATCTTATCTGACTCATTTAAACACCCTTTGTGGTGGCTGAGGATGGTCCTAAGTGACTAATACAATCCCAAAAAATATAAACACATCCAAGTCAGCTCTGGGATGGGAACTGGTGCTTGATTGATGGTATCCTGGAAACATGAGCCGTTACACAGCCTGTTGCTTCTGTATGTATTTCCTCTGGACTGGAGCTGGCTTTTGTTTTATTGTTTCCATCTTTAATTGAGAGAAAACCCACAACTTGTCTCACGTGATGTCGCTGGAGAACAAAGGGCAGGTGTTGCACTGCAGGATGTTGTGGACCACCCTTCCCCCTGGTGCAGTGACAAAGTCTTGTCCCTTCTGGTGTTGGTGGTGACAGCCTGGGGCTAGACCCCCACCCGAGGGGATCTGGGGGTATCCTGTGCTGGAGCCAGCACTCATCCCTTGGTGGTTTGTGTCTCCACACTGAACTGTTTTGTTTCCTGTGCAACATCTCTGGACAAAGTATTGCCCGGCACAAATCCCCGCGCCTGCCCTGCGGGAGGAAGCACAGTCGGCTTCCAGGAAAGGTCTTCAAGCCCCTGAGTCTGGAAAACCATCATTCCCTTCGTTCCTTCAAAGGCTTCCTGTGGGGTGGAAAACAGTCCTGGTGCGTAAGCTTGCTCCTTCCGCCCTGTGCACGCATCTGGTGATGTCCCTGTGCCGTGCCCAGGGGAGCAGGAGCTCCTGTGCTCCTCTGGGGTGGGGGGAAGCTCTGAATCCCTGCAGGAGAGGTCACAAGCAGGTGGTGGATCAGGGCTTGTGGTGGGTCCACTACTCAGGGGCTCTGTGAGTGAGAGCTGCCTTGGGGGCTTTGCCACATCACTGAGCTGGGCCAAGTCCCCTGACCTGCCCCTGCCTCTGTGGCTGAGCCTTTGGAACTGGAGGATTATCAGGTTTCCATGACTTCAGTTTTCTCTGTGTTGCCCCCTCTGTGGGTGGCTGGGGCAGCTCTGGGCACTTCCAAGCTCCAAAACAGAGGAAATGCAGCACAGGGTGCTGGGCTTTCTGGTAACCACTAATTTCTTGAGGTCCAGGGAAGCTTCTTTTTAAGCTGAGATGGTTCCATAAAGGCTCAGCTCTCATTCACACTGATTCAGGGGTTTTCTCATTGCATCAGGGCTGCAATCAGGGTGAGGGATGTGAAACTCTGGCACCACACGTGTGTCCTCAGGGTTCCCAGACTCATTTCTGGGAAGAGCCTGGCTGTGGCTTGTCCCAGGGCTGGGCAGGGGGGCTCTGGTGGCTGCTGGAAAATCCGGGAAGTGTCTCTGTTAACACAGGATGGAAGGAACAAAAACCCCAGCACCATTAATCACCTGCTTCGGCTGAGTGTGCACATTTGGAGGGGAGTGTTTACAGAGCACTTTCCTTGCTCAGAGGCTTCCTGCACCCTCAGAGAATTAATGGTATGACCTCCTAAAAGGATGCGTGGCACACCCAGTGCACGGAGTTGCCTCTCAGAACAGTTCTCAGATAGGAAATGTCCTGGTCCTGTGATGACACTGGATGCAGAGATGGGCACGTCCCTCTCTCAGGCCTTTGGGACCTTCCCCAGCCTTGGCTGCAGCCTGGCAGGATGGGATGGGACAGAACAGGGCTCATTTCCCCACAGGGAGCTGGGCAGGAACCAGGGAGTGATGCCAGACCCAGCATGGACCCAGGACAGATGCTGAGGGTCTTGAGATTGAATAGTGCAGGATGTTCAACACCTCTGTGGTAACACTTTCTCCCTCTGTACCATAAGGTCAACCCTCACAGGAACACCTGCTTCCATCCCTGAAAACACCCTGTGTGAATAAATGCACCTGCAAACCGGGCTGGCCACGGGCCCTGGCTCTGCTTTTGGGGCAGGGGCTGACAGGGCCCTTTCCACAGCTGTGTGTCCCCAGCAGCTGTCGGGATCAGGGAAAGGCTGGTTTGCCACTGGGGAGTGCAAAAAACAGGGATAGAGCTGGATCTGAGCCACATCCCAGCGTGCAGGAGCCTGTGCAGGGCTCCTCGGTGGGGTGATGGGGGTCCCTTCACCACCAGCCACACAGGGACCCTTTGGGACAGGGACTTTCCCAGGTTTGGAAGGGCTGCTGGCTTGGCCGTTGACTGAGTGTTGTGCAAGAGCTGAACTTGGAAGAAAATCAGAAACCTCCCTCTGGAAATACCCCTTGGGCTGGAAGCTGTGGAGGTCCTGGGGCCCGTGCTCATGGGGGCGGTTCCTAAAGGGCTTAAGAAGGGCTGAGGTTGGAGCCGGCAGCCAGAAGGAGACAGCCCCAGCCAGCGGCACCCGCTCCCTGGAAGGGGGAAGGAAGGAAGGAAAGAAGGGAAAACCAGCCCTGCTGCTGCCCTGTGGGTGATGGAACCGGCTTCTGTCCTTCTCCTCCTCAGCTCACTGTGGGGCTGCAGCGGTAAGTGCCACAGGGCCAGGAGCTGCCCTAATCCCCCGACCCGCTGTGCTGCCCTGCCCTGCTGCTGCTGCTCTCTTTGCTTTGCCCTACGGCCCCAGGACCTCCCTGTCACTGAGCTGTGACCCAGGTCGCTGCTGTAGCTCCCTGTCCCGGCGCTGGGAGCTGCGGGGTGCTGGTGACTGTCCCCTCCCCTGACCCTGCACTTTCCTCCTGCCCAGGGCACCCTGCTCACAGGCTGGTGGTGACACCGCGGGAGCCGCTGGTGCCGTTTGGGGGCTCGACAGAGCTGAACTGCTCCTTGGCCTGCGCAGGGGGCAAGGTGGAGTGGAGGGGGCTGGACACCGCCCTGGGGACCATCTCCTCCTTCTCCACCCACAGCATCTTGCACATCAGGAATGCTATCGTGGCCACAGAGGGCATGAAGATCTGCCAGGGTAGCTGCCACGGGCAGCACTACCAGAACACCGTCACGCTGAAGGTGTACGGTAAGCGCTCCCCAGCCCTTCACTGCCACCCAGTGCAGCTCTGGATCCCCAAGGCAGCCCCTTTCCTCCTGAGCTATGCTGTGCTGCCAAAAATCACCCTTGACGCTGCCACTCCTTTCCAGCCCTCCCAGACATGCTGAGGCTAGAGGCAGCTCCCCACATCCTGCACCCAGGACACCCTGCCAACCTGAAGTGCTCGGCCACACACCTATATCCTATCACTGGGGTGGCCCTCACCTGGTACTGGGGGCACCACGTGGTGGAGGACACAGACTTTGATTTCGAGGAGACCGATGAGGAGCTGTATAACATCATTTCCACCCTGTCCGTGAGTGGGACAGAGGTGGCAGAAGGGGTGGAGTTCAGGTGTGAGGTGACGCTGCACGTCGGGCAGGAGACCTTCACCCGGGTGGCTTCTCTGGTGGCAAGTGCTGAGGGTGAGTGCCAGAAGGGGCTGGGGACCCCAAACCACGTGTACCCCATCCCCTGGAGCCAGCTCCCACCGCCCCGTTCTCCTCGGAATAGCTCCGCCAAGCAGGAGCAGCCCCCACTTCTGCACCACTCCTGAATCTCCCATCCCCATCCCTGCACCTGTCCCTCGTGGCAGTGCCCCCTTGCTCCTGGCTCACCGTGCTCAGGGCCTGGAGGAGGCTGGGGCTGCAGCGAGGTCACCTGTGACCAAGGCCGCTGTGTGTTTGTAGCTGTGATGGAGCAGCCGGCAGCCGTGGTCACGTCCATGGGGAACCCCAGCACAGCCAAGCCCGTGGCCACCACAGCATTTCCTCCAGGGCCGAGTGTCCCTCCAGGTGATCCCACCACAGCATGGAAGCCAAACACTGAGACCACCCTGGATCTGGCTGCTGTCACCAACGCGCCCTCCACGGAGCCCCAGGACCTCATGGCAGGCAGCTCCACGGCACGTGTGGCCACTGGCGCGGCGGGGACAGGACCACCTATGGGGACAAATCCTGCCTGCAGCCTGCAGATCTGGTCGCTGCCTCCCACCGGGACGCGGGGCAGGGCCCTGCGCATCGAGTGCCACGCTCAGTGCTCCGGGAACGCCACGGTGGGCTGGCTCCGGACCCCCGCAGCCCTCTCGCAGTACCGGGAGGAGTCCGCGGGCAGCAGCTCCGCGCTGCGGCTGGACCGGGCCGAGCCCTGGCACCAGGGCCACTACCAGTGCGTGCTGCTCGGCAGCCGAGCCCAGATGGTCAGCCTGGAGGTGATGGTGCTGGACGGTGAGTGGTGGTGATCTGCGGACCCCTGCCCCGCTCTGCCCTCATCGCTGAGGTGGGGCTGCAGCCCCTCGTGTCGGCGGCACAGCTGGTGCTGGGGGGATTCGCTCACCCCTCGGCATTCGCTGCCCTGGGCAGAGCCGGCTGCAATAACAGCTCCTTGTGTTTGCAGATTCCTTCAGCTCGAGCCCGGCCATTGCTATGGGGACAGCGGGATCGCTCTTGGGGCTCATCCTGACCGTGGCCGTGTCTCGACGCCTGTGGAAACGATTCAGATCTCAGAAGCAGCTGTCCTAGGAGTGGGAGCAGGCGGCTGATGGCCGCAGCCCTCCAGCCGTGTCCCTGCTGTCCCCCTGTCTGCCGCTCGCCCCGTCCTGGCCAGCAAGGAGCGGGAGGGAGAACAGCTGCCTGCGGCTGCCGCGGGAGGCAAAGCCTGGAAGGACAATGAGCAGAGGCGACACAAGGACGAGGCCAGGGACGCGCCCGGGACTGGATCCCCGCGGTCTGGCACCGAACACTGCGCTGGGTCCGGCGCTGGGGGCTCCCGGCACCAGCGGACGGGCGGGAGCACGAAGGCCGCTTGTCTGTCACAACAGAATGTCCGAGGCAGCCCCGTGGGGAGCGTGGGCTCGGCGGGCGGGTGGGACCGGTGCTCCAATAAAGAACTGTTAACGTCCGAGCCCTGAGCAAGTGTCCTTTGGGCCTGGGCGGCCCCGCTCCCGCGGCCTCCCACCGGCACCACGACACCGACGGTGTTCGCGGCGCCCGCCCGGTTGCCAGGGGCGGGGCATCTGCCCGCAGTAAACATGGCGCCCGCGGCGCCCGCCGAGTAACCGTTGATAAGGCAGCTCCATTGCCCGCACTCAAGATGGCGGCCGCAGCCTCGCCCAATGGCGGCGTTCCCGCGTTGCCTTCCTGCTCACCGGTTGGCTGCCAGCGTGCAAGATGGCGGCACCAAAACTTCCGGCCCGGGCGGAAGTGCGCTCCAAGATGGCGGCGTACGAGAAGCGGCGAGCGGCCGCCGCCCCGGTGCCGGCGGGGGTCAGCGGGCTGCCGGAGCCGGGGCGGACAGCGCCGGGGGGCGGCGGGCTGGCGGAGGGTAGCGCGGCGGAGTTTCTGCTGCGAGCCGGCGTCACGGCCATGGTGCGGGAGGCGCTGCTCAAGGTGCTGGAGGCGCGGCCCGCCGAGCCCGTGTCCTTCCTGGCCGAGTACTTCGAGCGGCTGGTGCTGGCGGAGGCGGCGGCGGAGCCCCCGGGGCCGCCTCAGCGCCTGGCCCGGGCGCTGTGGTACGTGTGCCTGGCTCATCACTCGCACAGGTGCGGCGGGCGGCGGCGGGGGGCGGCGGGGGCGGGGGGCGAGGCCGCCTCTCTGTGTCTGTGCCCTGTCGCGACAGGACGGCCTTCGATAGCAACACCGGAGCGGCCTACGAGGTGCTGGGGTGCGGCGGGAGGCGGCGGGCGGCGGGCGTGGACGGGCGGCTCTACAGCGAGCTGCTGCGGCGCATCTGCCAGCGCGGGGCGGCCCCGGCCGAGGCGGCGGCGGAGCTGCTGCGCCGCGTCCGCTGCCGCGACCACGAGGCCGTCCCGTTCGACGTGTTCCGCTACGGCGTCCTCACCTGCTGCGTCCTGCTGGAGTTCGCGGCCAAGGCCGACGCGCTGTTCGCCGTGCTGGGCGCTGGGGACTCGGCGGACACCCGGCTGTGCCAGGCTGTGCTGCGGGCGCTGGAGGACGCGCTGGGCGCCGGGCACGGCTCTCGGCCTGGCCGCTACCTGGAGGCCGGCTCTAGGCTGGGCCCCGACAGGCTGGCGCTGGCCATGGACCAGGCGCTGCAGGAGAGGAAGCTCGGCTCCTCCATGAGCAGGGAGGAGTTCCTGCGGAAAGCCACCGCCCTGTTCATAGCCAAGGTGAAGCCCGTGGAGTGATGCCGGGTGGGAGCAGCGCTGGCTGCGGCCACTGCTGGCCCTGCGGGGCCCCCCTCCAATGCGAGCATGGCGAGCACGGAGCGTTGGCTGGGCACTGGCTGGAGAGCCCTGGTCTGCCCGACAAGACACTCCCGGTTTCCATGCTCCCTGCTCTGTTCTGATGGTGCCCAGCAGCTCTGTGTCTGTGCGTGCAGCCTTTCCCAGGTGTGACTCCTCTGGCCCAGCTGCATTGGAAGATCCCTTTTGGGTGTTATCCAGGACTGACGTGGAGGCTGTGACCCATGAAGCTGCTTTGGGTAGTGAAATGGCCCAGAAGGAACAAAGTGTGGGGCTGGGCTGTGGCTACACAGGGGCAGCTGGGGCGGGCTAATGTGGTTTGGGATGTGGAGTGCAGGCTCTGGATGAGACACATCCCCTTCCCCCGGGACCAGCTGCCTGTCAGGCTAGGGGTTATTTATTTAAACTTGTCTGATCATTATTTATACTGTTCAATTCCTGGTTTGCTGTAAAACATTAAAGCTTTTTTATTATTTTTTAGTGGCCAGTTTCTTACTTCCTAGCAGTGAGAAGTGCCAGATCCCTGAGGCGAGCTCCGTGCTCAGGGGTTACTGTTGGCAGCAGGTGCAGGAGTGCAGAACACCTGAGTGTGGAAGAGCCGGTGGGAGGATCCCCGCGGGCTCGGGATGTTGTGCTGGGCGGATGTTCTGCTCCCTGCAGGCAGGACGTGGCGCTGGTCTGGGTGAGGCTGCGGGTGGCGGCTCCTGACTCAGGCACAGCTGACGGGATGTGACACAAAGGGAGGTGCGAGCCGGGGATGCCGGAGGCATCGTTCCGCCGCGGCCGTGCCAGGAGCAGCCTCTGCTCCTGTTGCAGGTGCGGCCCTGGCAGCGCTGTGAGTTGTCACACAGGTGTGGCACCTGCAGGCTGACCCGGGGCTGCGCTCCGGGCCGGGATTCTGTGCTGGCGAGCCCGGGGGCGGCTGCCGATCGCTGGATTCGCTCGGTGGGACCGGGAGCGCCGGGGGCACCGGCAGGACCGCCCCGCCCACCGCCTGCCCCGCCCCGCGCCCTGATTGGTCAGCTGCGCCCGTAGGGGCGGTGCCCGCTGTGGCCACGCCCCCATGGGACTACAGCCCCCGCCGTGCCCCGCGTGGCGCCGGTCCCGCCGCCCCCCCCGCGCCCCGGAGCGGCCGCTGCGCCCCCCGAGAGCCCCGGTACCGCGGCATGGCGCGGCCCGCCGTGCCCAGCTCGCAGAAGGCGCTGCTGCTGGAGCTGAAGGGGCTGCAGGAGGAGCCCGTGGAGGGGTTCCGGGTCAGGCTGGTGGACGAAGGGGACCTGTACACCTGGGACGTGGCCATCTTCGGCCCCCCGGACACCCACTATGAGGGCGGGTACTTCAAGGTGAGCGGCGGGGGCAGCGGGAAAGGCTCGGGGTGTGAGGGGAAATGGGGCTGGGGGGGTGGCGAAGGCAGAGCACGCGGTGTCGGGGGATGTGCTGGGTGTTTTGGGAAGGAGTTTTGGAAGGGTGAGATCCTGGGAAGGGATTGTGGATGAGGGAGGGTGTCCCGGGTGGGTGTGGGGGTCGTGACAGAGCTGCCCCCGGACTTGTGGGCGTGTTGAGGGCCAGGGAGAGCTGGGTCTTTCACTGGACGCCTGAGGGTCCCTGGGGCTTCGGAGTGGTCCTGGCAGGGAGCCACCTGTGGGTGGCTGCTATCAAACTACCGAGGGAGGGTCCTCTTCGTTGTGAGGAGCATTCGGCCCCCATGGGGCTCTGCCTCAACCACCCCCCTGCCCCCCCGGTCTGAGGGTGCAGGACCGGGGCTCCAGGTCGATGATGTTCCTTCTTCTGGAGGGGATCCGAGGCATCGCCACCGGACCAGTGGCCTGACAGACAAAGGTCCCTCGAGTGCAGACAGGGTGGGAGCAGGGTGCTGGGTTGGGGAGTGAGCGTCGTGACTTGGTTTGGGGTTTGAGGTGGAAGGGGTTTGGCAGCCTGACTGCACGGTCCCCCCTCGGCAGGATGTGTGTGTGTTCTTCCCAGGTGTTGTGCAACGTGGGGTAGCTGTTTTCTTCCTCTTTCTCATCCTCCCTCCTCCACTGAGCTCTTGTGTTTTCATCCTGTTGCTGTCAGGGTGGGGATGCACAGGGTGAGTCACCCACGGTAGCTGTGTTTGTTTTCCTGGGCTGGCAAAGCCAATGTTTCAGAGCCAGGTTTCATCTCTTTACTGAAGTGGAGGTTTTTTTCCCCCATAGCATATTGGTATGAGACCCTTTGAACTCTCACCCTTTCAGCCACTCATGCTTCTGTTGTGTGCCTGAGAGCTTCCAAACTCTGCACTGATTGTTCTGGTGAGGCTGTGCATAAGAGGAGAGCAAAGGGCCCGAGTCTTCTCCAGCCTATGGGGACACCAACCTGTTTGTTCAGGGCAGGGTGGGGTTGTTTCTGTCCAAGCCCCCTTTGGCATCACTTTGCCTCGGCCGGTTTTGTTCTCATCCCCTCTGACACAACAAAGGGGATTATTCTGCGACGTTCAGCTGTTTGGCCAGAGCCCAGCATGGGGCCGAGTGTCACTGCCCTGCACTCCACACACACAACACGGCCCCCACTGCACTTTTCCCTTTTCCCTCTTCCCACCCCCTGTCCTGTGCCATGGATCCAATGTCTGGATTATCTTGTACATAAACTGAGGGAGCAAGAAGCATTCAGGGAGTTGTCATGTTGAGTCTTGATCTAGAAGTTTGCTCCCAGGGCCTGGGAACAGCTGAAAGCTGAATCAGTCACTGGGAAGTTGTGCAGCCACACAGGGAGAAGCTGCCCCCATCCTCTCGGATTCCTGGTGCTGGTGGGTTGGGGGTAGCAGCTCTGAAGACTGTGGGATGTTGCTGTAGGTCCTTATGCCCCCTCAGGCTTCACTCAGAGATGGACAGTGTGCCCTTCTTTGCCCAATCTCAGCCCCGCGGGTTTGGTGGCTGTGGGAGGAGCTGGTGGTGGCTGAGTGTCCCTGCTGGAGCCCTGGGCTGCAGCCTGAGCTTCATGTGATTTTATTTTTAGCCCCCAAGCTGCGCGCTGCGGCCGGTTTGGACTGGGTCTCTTCTCAGCAGTGACAGGCTATTTTTAGATTCGGTGTGTTCATCGGAGCACCAAACACCTGATGCTTCCTTCCCGTGAGCTCTGAAGGGTAAACAGCCTTTCCTTCAGAGGCACAGCCATGGTCTGTCCCTGACAGCAGCTCTCGCAGGTGACCCAGACTCTGCCTGGCTCCGTGTGCTGCTGTGGGGTTTGTGCTGGGTGCCAACATCGCGAGCTCCCGCAGGTTCCTCTGCATTGGAGAGCGCTGGGTTAGCACCAGTGGGCCCTGCTGGACAGGAGGGTATGGGCAGGATGAGGGGCAAGGAGCTGCCTCTGGTCACAGGCCCCTTGCTCATCCCATTCTGTGTGGTGAGAGGGTGCCCCTGGGGCCGGTGTCCATCCTGCCCCTGGGGCCGGTGTCCATCCTGCCCCTGGGGCCGGTGTCCATCCTGCCCCTGGGGCCGGTGTCCATCCTGCCCCTGGGGCCGGTGTCCATCCTGCCCCTGGGGCCGGTGTCCTCCCCACAGAGCTGGCTGGTGCAGAGGCTCTGTCCCAGCAGGCACCCAGCTGGGCTTGGCAGTTTCCTTCTTCCCGAAGCTGTTAGAAGCTCTGTGGTTTCCGTCCCTTCCTTCTCACAAGCTGGTGTTCACATCTCCTTATTGTTCCCTTGCAGGCTCGTCTCCGGTTTCCCATCGACTACCCCTACTCTCCTCCTGCCTTCAGGTTCCTGACCAAAATGTGGCACCCCAATATCTACGAGGTAGGTCCCCTGGGACAATGAGCAGGTTCTTGGACAGTCAGTGGACACGTGTGCCTCTGTTGTGATGACACTGGATGCAAATGCCAGCCTTTGGCACAGGACACTTGGTACCTTTGGCGATGAGTGCCTGGCACAGGGAATGCTGCTAACGAGCTCACGACAGCCCTTTGCTGTCCCAGTGCAGGTTCCAGGCCAGCCAGACTTTGCAGGCCTGATGGCTCCCACGCTTGGGGACATTGTGCCTATGCCAAGAGTGGCTGCAGGCTGAGTGACGTGCCTGGCCCTGGGGCCCACACCAGGGGCACAGTGTGCTGGGCATTGGGCAGCCTGACCTGTACAGTGCTGGCACTCTTGGGGTGCTTGTCCACTTTTGTGTCCCTCCTATGGGACTGAAGGGACAGCTGGGGTTGCCTCTCCTGGCTTCAGCCAATGGGAAGCGCGAGCAAGGAGATCCTGAGGCAGCAACTTCTGAGGATGCAGTTTCTCTTGTGCTTACAGACAGGTGATGTCTGCATCTCCATCCTCCACCCGCCCGTGGATGACCCGCAGAGCGGGGAGCTGCCATCGGAGCGCTGGAACCCCACCCAGAACGTGCGGTGAGGGCTGGGAGGGACTGCAGGCAGGGGGCTCATCCAAGGGCAGGGATGGGAAGGTGGGAGGATGGGGACAGCCTCCTGCTCCCAAAGCCTGCAGGAGGTGCCAGGGGGCTGGTGAAGGCTCTCGGCCTGTCGGATTTGCTGCCAGAGCTTGTGTGTGGATGAGTGTAAGCCAAACAGCCCATGTGCTGCTGTCCCCTGCCTGGCCTGCTCCCCTTTTCTGGGACCTCTCTTACTGTGGACAGCACAAGGCTTTCCCACAGACAGAGTGGGGCTGCTGGCACTGCTGGGGTGCTGCTGACCTGCCTCAGCTCTGACCTGCTCATGTTTATTGTTGCCAGAACCATTCTGCTGAGTGTGATCTCATTGCTGAATGAGCCCAACACGTTTTCCCCAGCCAATGTGGATGCCTCCGTGATGTACCGCAAATGGAAGGAGAGCAAAGGGAAGGACCGGGAGTACACAGACATCATCAGGTGTGTGCTGAGCCTGGGCCTGGCAGCACTGGCTGTGCTGGGATCCTGTGGGAGGGCTGTGGTGCAGAGCTCTGTTCTCACCCCTCACTTCTCGCCCTTCAGAAAGCAAGTGCTGGGCACCAAGGTGGACGCTGAGCGCGATGGAGTGAAGGTCCCCACCACGCTGGCTGAGTACTGTGTGAAGACCAAGACTCCAGCCCCAGATGAGGGCTCAGACCTCTTTTATGATGACTATTATGAGGATGATGAGATGGAGGATGAAACAGAGAGCTGTTACGGTGATGAGGATGACTCCGGCAATGAGGAATCTTGATGGCCCTCTGGCATTACTATAAACTACTGATTTTTACCTCAGCTAGAACAAACTGGTTTGAATTTAGGATCTGTCAGCCCTGAAATTAACTCTCTACCTCGCAGGGAGACTGTTCTGCTGTTGCAAAGGAAATCCCATCACTGTCTTTGTAGGAAAAGATAAACCCCCTATTTTATAAACTTCGTGGGGGGCAGGTAGAGAGGGGGAAGCTGTGTTGGGTCATTCACAAAGCCGCAGAAACTGAGGTGCTGGTGGCTCTGCCAGGCTGAGGAGTGACAACCAGGCCTGGTGTTGGCTGCCCCTCACCTGTGTATGTTCAGCTTCTCTTCAGCCCCATGGGGTAGGAGCAGTTTGGGGGGCTTGTGGGGGTGGTGAGCGATGGCTTTGGTGGGCGGGGGCAGCATGTGAGTGCTGTCTTGGCTTTCAACACCTGCAGCTGTCTGGGCTGTCCCCACAGGACCCTTTTGCCTTCCCTGCCCATGATGCTGGCTCTGTGTTCACAGGGAGAAAGGCACCAGGGAGGACTTGCCCAGCAGCCACCAGCACTGGGCATGTGGGGATGGTGTGTTTGTGGTTTTTAACTAGCTGGGAGGGACGGGGTCATGCTGAGTATTTCTGCTTCTGTGTTTTTTTTTTTTTTTGGACACTATTTAATAAAGTTCTTCCAGGGAAGGGTTGTGATGCGTGGGTGAGATTCTGCCTGGTCTGTGCCCAGGCTACATGGGATTTGTGTCAGACATGGACTGGCATGGAGCAGTGGGTGGATGGGCTGCTCTCCTGGGGCTGCAGGGCAGCGGAGGGGCTCACAGTAACCCTCTTTCCACCTTGCAGAGGGGGCAGGAGAGTCTGGACAGGGTTGCCTCTGGTCTGAAGAGCATCTCTGCCCTTTACAGACAACATTCAGTGCCTCTGCCCTGGAGCTGTGGCCAACACTCGGTCTTTGTGTGGGCCAAGCCCTGCAGTGCTGCACAGGGAAGGTGCTTGCCTTCTCGCTCCTCTGCAGGCAACAGACCTGCCTGGGCAGTGCCTGGCTGCGCTCAGCGGTAACTGAGGGGTGCCCCAAGGGTGCCCAGGGCCCTTGCAGCTGCTCTGGTCGCAGCTGGGTGTGCCCTGAGCCCACAGATCGGGACCGGCTGGGATATGCGAGCTCCAGAGACTGGGGAGCTCCCAGCCCAGGGCTCTGCCGGCCCCTTCTTCAGCTGGGATGGGCTGAGCAGCCTCGGAGCCAGGGCAGGGACGAGGCCCTGGCAAAGCGCCTGCCTGGGGCTCCTGGCCCTGCTTCACAAAGCTCGTCAGAGGGGTAATGAGCAAAACTTGCCTCGGCTGGAGTCGTGCAAATGGGATCAGGGCTTGAGTGACACCTGCGACTGCACGCGGCGAGGGCATGTGCTTTATTGCCTTAGGAAATGAGGCTAAAAGGTGAATAGGATTATTGTCGCTTTATTCAGGCCTGGCAAACGGCTTCCAAGGTCACCCGGCCGGCATGGAGCAGCAGCCCCGGCTGCTCGTTCACAGCCAGCCCCTTCTTCCTTTCCTGGGGGGCTGCTCTGTGCACCCCCAGCAGCCTCCCCATCCGCATGGCCATGACCATGTCCCCTTCGCCTCTGTGTGACCAGTTCCCTCCGCAGTGCTGGAAGCTGGACACCACTCAGACCAGGACCAGCTCCTCAGCCTGCGGGCACCACACTCCTCCGAATTTCTGCACCACGGGAGTCGTATTTGCAAATTCCCCCCAGTGCTGGGGGAGCCCAGCCAGTGTTTGAGGGTGGGCGGGACATAGGGAAGAAATGGTCTGGGAGGAGCTGGCAGATCCCCCGTGGAGAGCGTGGTGGGGACTGGCGCCTATGGCCCCATTGTTTCGGCTTTTCCTGCCCCCCTGCACAGTACCCCTGGCTGTGCGTGCTCCAGTGGTCCAGCTCAGTCAAGAGCTCGCTCCTGGGATGGAGAAAGCTGCTGTCGTGCCTCTTTGCCCCAGCTGCCTTGTTGGTTATCGCCTGCCCAGCTCCTTGGGGTTATCAGGCAGTTCCAGCTGGGCCGGAGCCGGGACTTGAGGCCCAGCACCCCCTGACCCCACGGGCTGGCCGAGAGCCCGGGGCCAAGTGCGTTCCTTGCACCTCGGGGCAGCCCTGGCCAGGGCCGGAGGGGGCTGTGAGACAGCGGAGCAGCGGCCAGGTCCGGGTGCGCTGCTTTGTCCTGGCAGCGGCCCCGCGGTGTCCGCAGGAGCCATTGTCTGTGCCAGACTCCCTGCGCTGAGGAAGCGCTGCCCGGTTTCCTTCCCATACATCCCGCTGTGCGGGGGACCCGTAGGCGGCCCTGCCTCACCCCGTGTGGCCCCGAGAGCCTCCGGGAACCTCCGCGTGCCTCCGGTCCTGCCCGGAGACCCGCCTGCCCCAGCACCCGCCGGCTCCCCCGTGACTCTGCCCACGGTGCGCCCCGAGGAGCCACATGGCCTAGGGGGCGTGTGGGTTCCGGTGCTCCCCCCGGTGCGTGCGTGCCCCGGCTCGGCAGGGACGGACACGTGCAGACCTGTTCGCCCCCCCCCGCCCCTCCGCGGTCTCGGACCCGTCCGGGGCAGCAGCTGCGCCGGGGCCCCCAAAGCGCGCGTCCCTATTGGCTGTCCCGGCCGGTGGGCGTGGCCTCGGCGGGACCGGCCCGAACCGGCTCTGCCCTCGGGGCCAGGAGAGAGGAGAAGGCGCTCGGTGTGATCTTCTCTCTGATTGGACGGGCCCGGCCGAATGGGCGGGGTCTGAGAGGCGCAGCAACGTGCGATTGGCCGACCGGAGGTGAGAGGGGGCGGGGCCCGATCTGGCCCCGCCTCCCCCGGTGCCCCCGGTCGCGGTTATAGCGCGCGCGCGGCGCGGCGGGGGCGCGTGCGGAGATGGCGGCGGGCGCGGCGGGAACGCGCGCGGTCCTGGCGCTGCTCGTCTTGTGCTCGATGGCCGCGGGCGCCGTGGGGACAAGTACGGACCGGACCGGGGCGGGCCAGGGTGGCTCCGGGTTGGGGGCGGCTCCATTTAGGCAGCCCGGGATGGCGGGGGGTTCGCGGGCGCCCACTGGGGGGTCCGTGGGGGGTTGGACGGAGGGAGTCCTGCGGGGGCTCCGAGGGGCTTTGGCAGAATCCCAGTCCCGCGGGTGGGCTCCGGGCCGGCTCCGGGAGCGGCAGGCGTGGGGGGAGGAGCGGCGGCGCGGGCGCCTGCGGCGGGGCACGTCCGCGGCGGGCGGGGCCGGGGGAACGGAGGCGCCCTGGGGCTATCGGGGGATGGCCAGGCCGGGCTGGGCTCCGTGCTGCCGTCGGGCAGTGCCGGGTCTCGGGCGGAGGATGCCCCGGTGCACAGCGTGCCCGCTGATCTCTTTAACCGGAGGGGCGGCCGGGTCCGCCGGTGCTTTCAGCCGCGCTGGGTTGTTTTCTCCTTAGGAAAACCGAGGAGTTTGTTCCCAGCAGCCGCTTCTCCGGTTTGTGCGGCTGAGGAGCAGCATCGGGTCCCCGGGCTTTAAACGCTGAGGATGTTCGGGATAATCCGCGGGGCGGGCGCGGGGCGGCGGCTCCGGCAGCCCCGGGCGGGCGCTGAACGCTCTTCCCGCAGGGATCAGCGGGCTCTGCCCTGCCCTGGGACTCCACCTTTCACCTCCTCACGTTCAGGAGGGGCTCACGGCATCCCCGGCCGTGTTCTCCCCGCAGCCTGTGAATCAGCTCTCGTGCACGAGGTGCAAATGGAAGAGGCTCGGTTTGGTCGCCAGTGGCGAGCAGCTGGTCCTGGCTGTTTGGCGTTTTGAGTACTTGAACAATTTGTAGCCTGTTTGCGCTTAATTCAGCGTAGTAGAACCGAACCCTGAGAGTGAAGGAGAAAGGGTGGGAGTATCCTGGAAAACCGAAGTGTGTGCTCCAGTAGTTTCTTTCTACAGAATCGCATTTTAATTTTGCAGGGCAGAGCCTCCTTCTAAGCCTCACACTCATCACCTGGAGATGCCCAGGGTGGCCTCATCCCACTCCCTGTGTGGCTCTGAGGGCTTCCTGCACCCTCCTGCCTGGGTACTGGTGCTGGAAGGACCTGGAGGAGGCAGTTCCTATCCTGGGTCTGAAAAGCCCTGGGAGGATGAGCTGGCCCATCAGTTGTGTAATGCCCATGTCCTGCCTGGCCATGCCTGGGCTTGGTGTGGAGCTGTGCTGGTGCCTCGAGGGAGCAGAGTGGGGGCTGAGAAGTGGGGTTTGGCCTCTCAGCAGTGTTTAGGTTTGGCTTTATGGAGCAGACTGGGTAGCAGCTCACCCCATGGAGCATAGGTCAGTGTATGCCTGGACTCTGTGCCCTTGGGTCCCCCCGAGGACCCTGACTTTGATCTGGCTGTGCAAAGCTTAAGGGCAGATTTTATAGCTATTTTAAATGGCAAAAAGTGTTAGATCCTCAACTATCCCCTTCCCAAACCGAGAAACAAAGGTCAGACCTGTGGGACAGTGGGGCTCTGGCCTGGCTCGGCCACCCTGAGCACTCCCACTGCTGTTAACACCCCAGCAGCTCCTCCCTCTGCGCGGGGGAGAGGTTGTTTTTAGTTTGAAGGTGACTCCGGAGAATGTTATCTGGTCTCTGCCTTCCCTGCTGTCCCGCTGGCTCGGATACCACGCCGTGCCCGAGGAAGCATCCGGCTCAGCTCTGTGAGGGGTGTCTGGGCTTTGGGAGCTGAGCCCCACTTGCAGCCCATCACCCTCTGGAAAATGTGGCAGCAGCCCTGATCGATCCCAGCGGGTTTGTGCTGGCCATGCTTCTGTGCCTCGGGCTCAACAGCCGCCTTCCCCAGCCCAGAGAGCCCACGGTTGGGATTTGCTGCTCTCAGCTTTCTGGTGGGGACAGGGAGGCCGTTAATCCCATGGGAATGCAAATGGTACTCGCTGCTGCTGCTTGCTGGAGCCTTTTGACCCGTTTGAACTGCACGAGGTACCCTCTAACTCGGAGCAAATAACCTTGCACAGCTTATTTTGTCAGCGTACAGTAATCACCTTGTAGCTTTAAAACCCTTGATCTTTACCAGCTCCCCCTCTAATTCGGGCTGCAGTTGGAGCAGATGGGCTCGTACAAGTGCTGTGGGCAGCTCCAGGGCTTGTCAGGGTTGGGAGTGTTTGATCACAGGCCTGTGATGTGGAAAAACGTCTTCTCAGTGGTTCTGGGAGTGGAGCCCAGCTGATCCCCCCCCATCCCATAACATCTCTGGGTAGCCCTGAACCTCCTGTTTGGGTAAAATTAATGTCTGCCTTCTCCTAAGAGTGCCTTGGTCCTTTCTCTTTTAGCCATGCTTATTCTTCAAGACTTTCAAAGCTCTAGTAGGAAAGTTTTTCCTTTGAAAAATGTGGAATTAGTTTCTTTAGGAGTCAAGCTTAGCTTACAGGCTAACTTGTGTCTTCCTTGATTTTGAGCAAACTTGGGTTTGTGACACTCATTTGTTCCTACTCTCACAAAAAGCAGCCTTAGGATATCTTGTTAAAACCTCTTCAGGCTTTCAACCCCTTCCCAAAACTTCTAAGCTCACTTCCTCTGTGCCTGTACATCATGGTGCATCCATGGAGGGCTGTAATCACAAAGTGCTTTTAATTGAGCAAATTAATTCCTGGAAGGTTCTTGGGATGCGAGCTGCCTGTTAGTACAGGAAGGATGTGTTTCAAGCTCAGCTCCTTTTTCTGAAACCTGGCTGGGGGTGAGTCACGTAGTGACCTCGACCTGTGCCTGATGGCTTTTCCCGAAGTGGAGCTGCCGAGCCTCCCTTCCTGCCTGCCCTGGGAAGGGCTCCTGGGGCTGTGGCCGCTGCCCCGTGCCTGTCCTGGAGCCCGAGGGCGTTTGGCAGCTCCGTTCCCTGGGACCGACCTTTGGACTGGCTGATTCCACCACTGAACCCTCTGGCCTCCGGCTGCAAGGGCAGAGTGAAAAATACCCAAATTCCAGCCTGCAGCTGGTACCTGTGCCTCTGGTCTGTTTGTTGCCAGTTCAGCTCTGCAGGCTGGTCTTGCCTGAGATGAAAAGTCAGATTTCGCTGTTTGTATGATAACAAATTTACACGTTTCCTCGCCTGGCTCGTGACATCTTGTGGACTGTGAGGCTTTCCTCCACCCCCAAAAAGAGTTCTTACCTTGGGGTTGGTGCTCAGGAGTTCCTGCTGGGCACCTTGAGGGGCTGAGGGATGGATCAAGGGTGTGGGCAGGTGAGGGGCTGGTGCGTGTGGCTGTGCCCAGCGAGGGGGGGCCTGGGCCCTGGCCAGCTCTGAATTATGGTCAGGCAGCCTGGGGCTGTGCAGTGAGGGGGAATGGACACGTTCCTCCTGGGGCCACAGGGACACAGCGAAGCCCTTTTCCCATTTCACTTGTCTTAATCAAACTGGATGGGAAGGGGCTTGGTCAGCGTCCCCTCACTGTCCCCTCACTGTCCCCAGCTTCCCACGGTGATGTGCGCTGTGCAGCACCTTGCCAGAGCACAGGCTGGGGAATGTGGGGGCTCCAGAGGCCCTTGGAACACAAATGTAGTGTTTTCATCCTGAGCTGGAAGCGCTGGGGGCCAGACTGAGGCCTTGGGCTGTCCCTCGCAGCAGGTGGGCGTCCAGTTTGGGTAGCAGCACACACTGGGAGCTGGTTTGCAGCCTCAGGAGATACAAAATGCAATCACAGCCCTGTCTGAGCCAGGCAGAGTTCAGAGTGTGGAGGGGAGGGAGGGAGGAGTGCGCTGATCTGGTGTGCACCCTCTTCTCGATCACCGAGGGTTGTTTTTGCTTGTGGAAGGTGAATTCTTGCTTTGCACTAACACTTTGCACTAATACCTCTTCAACTCATAGCTGGTTTTATAAAGTCACCGCTGTCTCAAAAGAGACTGACTCAGGACAGCGTGGAGTTGTACTGCGAGGCGATTGGCAATCCCATCCCTGAGATCCAGTGGTGGTTTGAGGGGAACGACCCCAATGAGACCTATGCTCAGCTCTGGGATGGCGCACGGCAGGACCGTGTCAAAATCAACGCCACCTACAACCTGCACTCTACCAGCACCATCTCCATCGCAAACCTCACGGGCGACGACTCGGGCATGTATGAGTGCCGGGCTAGCAACGACCCCGACCGCAACCACTTGTCGAAGAGCCCCAAAGTCAAGTGGATCCGTTCCCAGGCGAACGTTTTTGTCATCGAACGTGAGTGGCCGCACCGAGGCCTTGGCACTTGCTCGGACACCGGTGTCTTGAGTCTCCTGCCATGCTCACCCCTGCACCTGTGTCCTGTGGCTCCCGAAAGCTCCCCCCACCCTCCCACCCCAGCTGTAGAACTGAGAGACTCCCACCCTCTGTCAGTCTCCCCACCACCTGTGACTTGACCCGGAATGGCCCTGCTCAAAAAGGGTTGTGGCTTCCCAACCAATTCGCCCTCCGGCAATCCCGCGCCTTTTCCGGAGCCAAAAGAACCTGGAACCTGCCGCTTATTCCCGAGCGCCTCCGAGCCCTGGTGCTGGCTGCAGAATTGAGCCTCGATTCTGTGGTCGACTCGTGCCCTAACCACCACTGACCAGCGGCCCTTCCCTGCGGCTCGTACAGCTCCCGCTCCTTCCGGCAGCCCTGCTTTGAGCTCGCTTCCGTGCTGGTGACCCAGACTCGTGGGGAAACAAATCTTGCTTTGAGGTCTGAGATGCAACCGTTTTTGAAATGGCCGTGTCTGTGTGACACCTGAGTGTGACACCTGAGTGTGACACCTGAGTGTGACACCTGAGTGTGACACCTGAGTGTGACACCTGAGTGTGACACCTGAGTGTGACACCTGAGTGTGACACCTGAGTGTGATGTCGTTGCTTGTCCTGTGGACGTGGCCGGGTTCCCTCTCGCAGAGCGGGCAGGCGAACGCCGGAGCGCCCAGGCTGCTTCCAGTGATAGAAACCTGGGAGGGAGATTAAAGTCCTGCTAAGGGTCTCCCCGTGAATCCTGGAGTTAGGAGAGCTGCCTTTTCAGCAGAAATGTGCTATGGAGTACAGAACTCCAGCAGAACCCTTCTTCCAGTGGAATTTGGATAGGAGGAAAAGCAAAATGCCTCTCAGCCCTGGCAAAAACTGGTCCTTCCGAGGGATGGAGATGGGGTGGGAGGGCAGGGACCGTAGTGGCACTGGGGCTGTGCAGGGGTGCTGCTGATGCCAGCTGCCTTCTCGGACAGCCTCCTACAAGTAGAAATGCCTGAGTCATCTTAGGTTGCATAATTTACTGCTGCCTGGCGCATCGAGGCCCAGGACCTCTCGGAGTCACGGCTCTGTCTTCTCCCTGGAGTCACTCTAACTAAAGCCTTTGGTTTAGTGCCTCAGGTGACGCACATAGTGCTGCCACACGATCTTGTCTGCTCCCCCTCACCACAGAGGGTCCTGTGTGCTACCTGGAGGTGTCTGAAGCAGCTCAGGTGCTGGGAGGTGTTGACACAGGAGTGCTGTGGCGGCTCACAGCAGCAGAGAGCCGTGCTCTGCCCTTCAGAGTGACCTTTTCCATTGCTTATTGAGCACTGGGCTGTGCCGGGGCTGCACCCGGGGTAGGGCCAGCGGAGATTCGAGTGATGCCGGGCACGGCAGCGATCCTGCTCGTGGGGGGAGCAGCTGCAGGGCCAGAGTGGCCAAACCAGGTCCACTCAGGCCTGGTCACCTGGGTCACCTGGTGTGGGGGACTCTGGTGCTGGCACGGTCAGCTCTGGTAGGGAACTGTGTGAAGGTAAGTGGAAGCTGGGAACAGGGACAAGGAGCTGTGGGGTTTGTGTTCCAGGTTCTTGGGCACCTCGTCAGCTCTGCCATACCCAGGGTTAACTTAAATCCAATTCTTTATGAATGCAGGTCCAGAAATTACTGCTCAGGTCACTGAGGATGCTGACAAGCTGACCCTCAGCTGTAACATGTCTGCACCACAACCCACCATCACAGGCCACAAGTGGATTCACAGGGATAAGATCCTGGAGCAGGACGAGAAGTCGGGTGCTTTCACCAGCTACACGTGAGTGTCAGGGCAAGGTCAGAACCTGAGCACAGGCAGGTTTTTTTCCCAGAAGGCAGCTGGTGTTTGCTGTCAGCTGGAACCAGGGCTGAGTTCCTGCAGCCCTGCTGATGGGGTGGGGCTTTGGGACTGTGGAGCATGAGATGACTCTAACAGGGTTTTGGTAAGGCCCAACACTCTCCTTTATGGGGAGGAGGGGAACAAAAAGAAGGAGGAAGGGGCAGTTTTGTGCCACAAATGTCCTCTTAGAGATTCCCTGATTTTAAGCAGATGTTCAGCTGGACTCTGGTTATTCCATGTTCCAGAGCTGTTCTCCCAGAGCTTTGAAGGAGCCCTGCTCTGGACAGGCCACTGGCTCCCTGTGTGTGGAGCGAGAGGCTCCAGTCCATGTTGTCTCTCCTTGGGGCTTTTTGTCCCTTCCCAGAGTCCGGCTGTTGTCCCAGAAGGAGCTGTGGCAGGCTGTGGTCCGTGCTGGGTGCGGGAATACCAGCCTTATTGTGGCAGTGCAGTGAGCTTTCCTTTCTGATTACAGTCAGGCCTGGCTGGCACTGACCCAGCAGCTGTGGAGGCATCATGTCCCTTTGTATGGCAGTGCCGACGTGCCTGTCTCCCCATAGCAACAGGGAGCTGAACAAGGATTAAAGTATTTATAACCCAGCCTCCCTCGCGTGACCTCAATTCCTCAGCTGAGTGGTTTTTGGAAGTGGGAAGCGCCGTGCACGGCAGAACTAACAAACAGCCCCTTGTCCCAGTGCAGCCATGGGACAAACTCTGTGGGCCCCTTCCCTCGAGTGGGTATTACTGAGCAGCAGAATGGGATGTTTGTTGCAGGGCTGCGTAATCCACTAAATCTCATTGCAGCAGCTTTACAGGAAGGAGAATGCGGGAGTTTTTCTCTATGCAAGGATCAATCCAGAGCAGCCTGGCCTGGGTGATCTTTGCCCTGTGTTTCACTGAGCTGGAACAGTGATCACTGACTTGACAGACCCTGGCACATGAAACCCTCTTCTGCCACCCTCAGAGTGTGAGGAGAGTGGAGAGTTTGGTTGCTGTAGGTACACAGTGCAGCATAAACTGCTGGAATGGGGGAAATTTGCTGTGGAGGAGGCTGCTGATGTTTATGGGTGTCTGATTCCCTGAGTCTGGAGGTCGAGATCTCTGGACAAGTCATGCTGGATGCTGACCTGAATCCTGTTTTTGGTAGAATCAATGGGAAGAAGGAGGAGCACTCTGGCATCTACGAGTGCGTCTATGAAGGAAACCCGCAGATCAGAGGACAAATGAATATTTCTGGTAATTTCATCTCTTTGCTCCTGGGGTCTGAGGAGGGCTGTGGGGAAGCTGTGAACTCCTGAACACTTTGCTGGGGTCTTTTCAGCTGGTAGAAAAGCTGCTCCCAGCCCTCATCTGGCTGCAGGGCCTCTGCTTTCTGAGAGGCAGCGCCGTTATCAGGCCATTCCAGTGTCTGCAGGGTCAGCCCTGAGATCCTGCATTAAACCAGCCTTCTGTGGGCATGTTCCCACAGGAATAATGGATAGAGGGATAATACCTGCTGGACAAATCTCTTTGAGCCTTTCCTGAAGCAGTGTGATGCACTTTCCTCTTTGAAAGTGCCAAACAAGTGAGAGGAACAGCCTGACTGAGGTTTTGGGGTAGCTGATTCTGGTGAGGTGGGCTGCAGGAAGCACAAATCTGTGTGATTTCTATCATGAGATGTCCAAATTATTTTTTTTTTGTCTCGCCTAGTTGCCCCCCAGGTGACAGCATACAAGACGTCCGAGCATGGGAATGAGGGGGACACGGGTGTGCTGACCTGCAAGAACCCCTCTTACCCTGCTGTCACCACTTGGTCCTGGTACAAAAGTGGTCACGGGGTGAGTGCTGTGGTTTGCTCCTTCTCCCCTCCTGCCTGCCCTGCTGCCCAGTCCTCGTGCCACCAGAATTGTTTCAAAGCTCAAAAGAGGGATTGCCGTGGTGCTCGGTCAGCACTGCCCTGAGATCCCTCTTCTCCCTCCTCCCTCCAGCTCCTGGAGAACGCCTCTGGGCGATACATCATCAAGTCCAGTGGCAACAAGACAGAGCTGCGCATCCTTAAATTGGATATTGAGCAGGACACAGGCGACTATTTCTGCAATGGCACCAACTCCTTCGGCACCGGGGATGCCACGGTGAACCTGCGCGTCCGCAGCCGCCTCGCAGCGCTCTGGCCCTTCCTGGGCATCGTGGCAGAAGTCCTCGTTCTTGTCACCATCATCTTCATCTATGAGAAGAGGAGGAAGCCAGATGAGGTTCCTGATGGTAAGAGGCACCTGGGTTTGAATCTTTCTGGGAAGATGAAGTGATTTGGGACAGGCAGGATGGGCTTGGAGTGAGTTCTGAGGTCCCTTTCTCAGGAGGGGTGGTTTGAGAGCACTCGAGGCACTTGAGGAGCCAGGCTGTACTGCCTGTAACTGCACTGTTTGTGACAGTCCTGCAGTGAGATCTGGAGCCAGAGAGGATTCTGTGCAGGTCAGCCTGACCCTTTGTCTCACCACTTCCTCTTCTCTTTGCTCAAGAGCTTCCCTTGAGTGTCTGCAGGGCTGGATTTGCTTTGGCAGCTCCCACTCTGGACAAGGTGCTTTGTAAATAAGTACCAGAGCTTTTGTGGTGCTGCAGAACTGCGAGGGACTGTGTCAGGGCCTGTGTAAGACCAGGCTTAGCTTAACTTGTGTTCAGTTCAGGATGTTTTGGGTCATCAGATCGACACATCCTGGATCTCAAAGACCCGGTACTATCTTTAATCTGTTCTGGAAGCACCAGCTCCTCCCTTTCCTTATCGGTGAGGATCTGCATTGTGTCAGCTCCCAGCCTCCTTTATCTGATGCTGTTAACAATGCTGTGTGAGTGCTCTGTATCCTTCCTGCCTGGGATCCTGCAGGGCCCCTGGGCCCCTGCGAGGAGCAGGCTCTGGAGAGGTGCAGCACAGGGGCTAAAGGTCAGATCCCTCCCCTGATTGCAGGGCTGGAGACAGTTTCACGAGCAGGTGTTTTGCCCTCTGACACCCCTGGCTGCAAGGCAAGTGCTGCCTTAAAGATGTTGTAGCTGCATCTCCCAGCAAAAACACTGCGTGATCCGGTTTGTGATGGCATCAGTCCAGGTCTGTGGGGTGCTGACCTGTCAGAGCTGTAGCAGATGCTTTGACAGACAGGGGAATGTGCTGAAATGTCCTGATGCTCCTTGGCAAGAGGAGCTCAAGTTCCCAAGGGCTCATGGATGAGGAATACAGCATCACACCCCTTGGTAAACACACGTGGCATTATACTGCCCTGATATAAAGTGGTTCTTTCTGCCCCAAAGTCTCTGTAGCTTTGTCCCTCCCAAAAGGTGACAGTGAGGCCTGTCTGAGCCAGTTCCCCCAGTACTTTCTGTGAACTGGGTGCTCCTGTCACCTGGGATGGGGTGGTGACAGCCTGGCCTGTCTTTGGGGTGATATCCTTGCTGGTGTTACCTGTCCACTCTTCCTTTCTCTGCTGCTGGTGCCACCTCACATGGTAAGTAGAAGGTAGTTCCAGCCCTGTGCCTGCCTCTGTCCTCTCACCAGCCCTGAGCAGATCCTGGTGCCCAGGGCAGCCCCAGTGCCCAGAGCGTGGGACTCCAGGGGAGCCAGGCCTGGAGAAGAGGTGATGGGGAGCAAAGGAGACAACTGGGAGCCTCCTGTTGGGAGGTGGCAGATCTCAGGGAGCTGGTGAAAGGCCACAGGGCTTGGCACATGTTGGCAGAGGTGTTTCTGTAGCTGTGCTGCTCAGAACGTGGTGTGCAGTGTTTGTTTTGATAGCACAACGTGTGGGGAGGGAGAAAGGGCTTCCTGCTGCTGCTGCTTAAAGCCTCGTTCCTGAAACATCCTGTTTGGCTTCCCCTTTACCTGCTGTGAGTGTGCTGGGATCTGGGAGCCATCCCAAGTCCTGGTGCCATGGGGGCAAGCACAGGGGATGGATCAGGGCAGCCAGTCTCACCAGAGGAGCTCTACCCTCCCCAGTTTTAAGTGGTGCTGCCTGGAATGCAGTTCCCACTGCTTTAACGAGAGGCAGAGGTCACTTTGCATGTCTTCTTCCCTGACTCTTTGTTTTTTGCTTTCCCTTTCTGTGCTGTCCTGAATGTGAAGATGATGATGGAGGCTCTGCACCACTGTGAGTACCTTGCTTCTTCCTATTTAGCCAGATTTTTACTGGTAGATCTCATCCAGCCAGGGAATCTGCTCCAAAGATAAAAGCTTTATGCAAAGATAGAAGCTGGCTGGTGTGGGATAATACTCAGTGGGGAGAGATGTCCCCATGTATAAACCTCACATAATTGGGGTGGCACCAGTGTCTGACCTTGCTCTGGGATCTGATCTCCTGCACCCTCTGCTTGGACCTGAATTACATTAATGGGTGAGGGGTGGGGAACTCTCTGCTCTCCCTTTCCTCTCACCCCTTGTCCCTTCCCAGGAAGAGCAATGCCACAAACCACAAGGACAAGAACGTCCGCCAGAGAAACGCCAACTAAGAGCAGGGCCAGGTGAGTGCCAGGGCAGAGCCTGGAGCAGGAGCTGCAGCATCTGAGTCTGCTGAGGCTCTCTGGGAGAAGCCAGAGGCTCTTCTGGCCCAGCATGGGCTCCACCAGCCCCTTCCCACCTGGTGCAACAGGCTTTATCTAACTGGCTTTTCTTTCTCTCCTGCCAGGTGATGTGTAGATGAAGAACTCGTCTGGACAATTTTATTTTCTTTTAATTTTTTGGTAAAATAGCACCATGGAATATTCTAGTGCGTCCTTGCGATTCAGTTACTTCACTTTCTAAGGAAACTTAAGTTGTAGAATATAAAATACACTTTTTTTTTTTTTTTTTTTTTTTTAAAGAGTCGCGGGAGGGTTTTTCTACCTGTAAATGTAAATCCTTTGTTCCTGCTAGTCTAGGTCTCTGGCTGTCTCTGTCCTAGGTTATTTCATGTTGGTACAGAGTGGGGAGGGGGGGGTGGGAGTGCAGCTGTGTCCCACCTGCTTGTGGGGGTGAGGGAGGAGCTGCTTTGGTGGCTGTTGGGAGATGACCTGATCTGACCAGAGGGTTCAGGAAGGGGTTCCGTGTCTTTCCCTGTGAGTCACCAGGAGCAAGGCTGCACCTTTCCCTGGCAAAGGGCTCGTTCCTGGCATGTCCTTGTCGGGCAGATTCTCAGTCAGCTCCTGCCAAACTCTTGGTTACTCTGAAACAGGCAGCCAGGAGCTGGATGCTGGATAAATGATTGCTGTAACTTATTCCATGGGTTGTTCATGTCTCTGCAGTGGGGAGGGGCAGGGTGAGCCGGGGCTGGGGGTGGTTTTAAGGTTTAACAGCGTGTGCTTGTGCTTATGCTTGAGCCATCGCCGTGTGTGCGTGACGTGGGGGCCTGCGAGCAGACAGGTGCTCAGGGGAGTCTAACACCTTTACTGCTGGGTAGCATTGAACTGTTCCATCTGTTAACACTTCACAAATAAAGATGATTCCTCTCTCTTTTTTCCACCTCTGGACTCTGGTCTCTTCCCTCCGGGCCACCTGACCCTCTGGCTGCAGAGCGTGGCCCTGTGTCTCGGTTTGGTGCCAGCTCTAATTGCTGAGGAGATGCAGCTCGACGGGTGTAAAAGCCTTCAGGGAGGGAGGGACGGAGGGAGGGAGGGGTGTTCCCTGCTCTGCAGGGTCTGGAGGAGCCTGGAGGAGCCTGGGGCCCTGGGCACACTTGCCTGTATGGGACAGTCTCTGCTTGCCCTGCTCCACAGTTCCTCAGGTGTTGTGGCTGTGGGGTCAAGGATCAGCCCCAGCCTTGAGGAGCCCTCACAGACCCTGCTGTTTGTGTGTCACACTTCTTTAAGCAGGTTTTCTATGTTTGCTTTTTTTCCTGCCCTTTATGGTCAGAGAGAGCAAAGGTGTGAGACCTTTGTGCACAGAGCAGGGCCCTGGGGCCAGGGCAGGATGTGATGGGGAGTCCCTTCTCTGCTGGCACCCCTGAGCTCAGGGGGCTTCTGCCAACATTCCTGCCCCTGGAGGGAGGCAGCTGAAGAAAAGCTACCGTGTGTTCCCAGCTGGCCTAAGGTGCCCCCGCCTGCTTCATTCTGGGCACATGACTGAACCACGGCTTTGCTCTGTGGCCAGATCCTTGTCCTTGCCTGGGGTGGGACAAAGGGGGAGCGTGGCTGTGGTGGCCACCGTGTGCCCAGAGAGGTGGTGGCAGTGCTGACAGCCTGGTGCTGTGGTGGCTGGCTCCCTCCTGCCTTGCTGTGCCACCACAGCGAGGGCAGCATGGCTCTGTGCTGTGTAAATGGGTTATGCAAGGCTTTCGCAGCCGCGGCCTTGCGCCATCCCGGTGAAAAATCAATGCATGGTTTAATTTCCTTTATGAAGATTATGGGTCCTGTCTGACCCGGCTCTGGGCTGCAGCACAAAGCACAACTTGTGCCTTTATCTGGCTGGGCAGGGCCAGGGGGACAGCAGCCCTGGGAGCTGGGCAGGGGATGACATTGTGCCACTCTGGGCTGTGCTGCAGTTGCCCTGGTGAGCTGTGCCACAGCCCTGCCACGGCCTCAGGGGCTGCCACATCGAACCTTGGGCAGGGATGGCACAAACAGGCCCCTGCTGTGGTGCCCCATCGTGTTCCAGAGAGAGAGGGCTGGTGCTCCGAGCTCCACGGAGACCCTGCTCAGCCCCTGCTTCCCGGAGCCTGGGGACAAGCCCTGAGCTGCTGCCTCACTTCTTGTCTCTGGCGTCTCCAGCCTCCCGTTCAGGTTAAGCTGAATCAGTGGCTCGGTGGGCTGGCAGCGGCTGAAGGGCAGCAGTGCTCTGCCCCAGGAGTGGTTTGGAGAAATGGGCTGCTCTTGGAGGCAGCCGTGCCAAGCCCGGGGGGTGAAGTCGCACAACGAGGCCGCTGTGGTCCGCAGCGCGACTTTTGGGGTGTCTCCTGCCCTGGGGCTCAGCGCAGGGCCCGCGGCTGGTGGTGGCCGCCCCGGGCTCGGCGCTGGCCCCGCTCCGGCTGCGGTTCTGTCCCGTGGCACCAGGTGGTGCCAGCGCCGCGCCCGAGGCTCCGTCACCCGCCGGGTCCCGCCCGGAGCTCCGAGCGGGGCAGCTCCGGCCCCGTGTCCGGCTGCTCGGGGGTGCTCGGGGGGAACCGGGGCTGCTCACTCCGGCACCCCCGACACCTCTCAACCCGGGGAACCGCAGCCGGACGAGCCCGGTCCCGTGGCAGAGGACAGGAGGTGCCGGTCCCGATGTCCCCGTTCTTCGAGAGCATCAGCCCCCTTGGCGGGTGTCCGGTATCCAACTTCGGGTGCTGGCGCTGTCCTGGAGCTCCGGTCCGGGGTCTCCATCCCCTGGTACACTTCGGGGGATTCCCCGACACCAGCTGGGTCCAGAGGGGGTTCAGGGCTGGAGCGATGGGTCCTTGGAGGGATGGGAGGGCAAAGCTCCCGTACCTGGAGCGGCGATGGGGTCCATCCCTGGCTCGGGAGTAGGCAGTGCTGAGACATCCCTGAGGCTGGGCTGGCGGCAGCGGAGCCCCCGCGGGGAGAGCGGCCGGTCCCGGACCACAGCACACCGGGGACTGCCCTGCCGGAGTCCGGGGCCGTCGGGGCGGAAGGTGGACGGCCCGTGCCGGTTGCCTGTTCCCGGTAGCCGGTCCCACCGGCGAGGGCTGTGCCGGCGGGGGGGGGGGGGGGGGCG